CATTCCAGCTGTTGGCAATTGCCTGAAGTGGTAGCCATGTGGAGCACTGTACCCAGCTCTGAATCAGACAGGAAGAGGCCATTTTCTGTCAGCTGGAGGCAGCACGAGGCATTTCCAGATGCAGGGGTGGCTTGGGTGTCTAAGCACCATGAGGAATCCAGGAGGAGCATAAAACTCCACCACCAGAGCACTCTCAGGGAATGCCTGGCACAGATGGTGAAGCGAGGAGGGCAGACTGGCTGGGCTACCAGTCTCATCTGTGCTGACATGCCAACTTCAGGGGATTTAGGACCAGGTGGGTTGCCTTTAAGGCCCCTGGAGGTTTGTTCCAGTAACCCAGGCAGGTAGGAAAGCCTTGCCTCCCCCCTCTTCACTTCATCTCATCAGCAGGGAGAGACTACAGCTCTGAGGAACTAAGTGAGACCTCAGGGGCTGTCTCTGCACTCAGCTCAGAGCCACTCTACAATGAGGCAGTTCCACCCACATTCATAGTGGCTAGGAACATTAGTGCAGAGGGCTAATGCAAAGGGCAGGCCAGCAGAAGCATCTCAAGCCCATTTCCCAGTGTGGCCCACATGCTACAATGGATGCTGGCCTGGCTCAATTACTGGCTGATCAGCCTAGAAAGCACCTATTGCACTGGAATCTCTCTGACCCCACGATATGCAGGCATAGTTGATTTTAGAAAGACTGCTGTACCAGTAAAGCCTACAATAGGCTTACTTGTAGGAGTCTACTATAGACCTCCCCATCAAGAGGAAGAACTATTCAGTAGGGAACTGGCTGAGGCCATGGGCTCCCAATGCTTCCCTGATGTATCTCGGGATGAGCACACAGCCAAATCTGACAGGTCACGTAGCTTTCTCACTTGCATTGATGACTTCTACCTAATGCAGGAGGTCTATGGGCCAACTAGGAGAGAGGCATTGCTTGATCTGGTCCTGGCCAAAGGGGAGGACCAGGTGAGCAATGTGAGGATTGAGGGGAAGCTTGGTGACAGCGACCAAGAATTGGCTACCTTCTTAGCTCACCAAAGAGCAGGCAAACCCCTCAGTAAAACAGAAATCCTTAAGCCTATCCTTGGTTTACTTTTTGGTAAGCCGGATAAAGCACAGAAAAGAACACAGCAGTATAAGAACTAAACTGGTTGCAAGCTGTTAATCACTGGTGAGCAGGGGGAAGTTCATAAGAAGACTTACAAAACCAGAGAAGCTAGATTTTGGGACTTGCATAAATTCTTTCATTTGGCCTTATCTCTTACCCTAACTGTGGGTTTGAAGATTTTCAGGATGCTTACATGCCACAGATATTTCCTAGCCTCTCATATTACTGAAGATTTCTGACTGCTCTGTGGAAGAGGCCAATAACACCTTGCTACAGCCCCTTTTAAATTTCATTCTACAAGGCAAGAAATTAGTCATAAGATAACTTCACTGAGTATTAAATCAATGATATTCTTTAATCAGGAGTCTAACTTTCCTCTATTTTTAAGAGCTTGGTGGCCACATATTGCTGCTAGGTTGAGAGAGATCAAGCTTTACTTTCTGGAAGCACATTATTCAGGATGCTTACTTATTGGGTGAAGGTTTGGTTTAAGCATACAGGATTTAAGGGGACCTCTTGGGCCACTGAATCCCTTGCATTCACAAATAACCATTAATCCTCTGAAAGCTGCTCTAATTAAAGCGCCAAAAGCATCACATGTATCTGTATCCCTGTGCTGAAAAGTGGCAGCAGGGGCACTTTAATTAAAGCTCATCAAACAAGTTTATTTAAAGCGCTCCTGCCACCATTCTTCATCTCAGGGACACTGATGTCTTGACGCCCATCTTGCTGGGGTCATCCGATCCCAGTAGTCTTTCCTGCCCAATACAGGGGGGCTGGACCCGATGATCTGTAAGGTCCCTTCCAGCTCCTAATAACTATGAAACTATGAAACTTTGGGAAGGCTGACTTTTGCAAACTCAGAGATTTGGTCAGGCAATTAGAGGCCGTACCCCCCACCCCACCCCCAAAAAGGGAACAGACAAGGAATGGTCATCTCTCAAAAACATAATCCTTGAAGCACAGGGAAAAGCCATTCCATCTCACAAGAAATGTAGTCATCGGGCAAGGAAGCCCTCTTAGCTGAACAAGGAATTGTTGGACCTCATTAAACTCAAAAGAGGTCTACACCAGTTGGAAAGTGGGAAGCATTACCAAAGAGGACTACTCAGCACTCACCTGCACCTGTAGAGAGCAGTGCAGAAAAGCCAAGGCACACACTGAACTCAGGCTAGCTACAGGAATCAAGGACAACAAAAAGTCCTTCTTCAGATATATGGGAAGTCGAAAAAAGAAGAAAGATAGCTTTGGGCCCTTGCGAGATCTAATAGGGCAACTGACGTCCAATGCTCAAGAAAGAGCTAATCTCCTAAATGACTTTTTTGCATTGGTTTTTCACCCTCTCAAGGGGATCACACTGTCAGAAAAGACACAAACCATCCTGGGAGTGGGTGACAGGCCCAAAATTGATGTGGATTAGGTGAGGGAACACCTTGAGAAACTGGACATTCACAAGTCCGTGGCCCCAGACAGAATGTACCTAAGAGTCTTGAAGGAGCTGGCAAACATCATTACATCCCCCTTGACAAAGATTTTAAAATTTGTGGCTCTCAGGTAAGGTCCCAGAAGACTGGAAAGGAGCTAATGTGGTCCCTATCTTCAAGAAAGGGAGAAGGAATGACCCGGGGAATTATAGACCAATCAGTCTGATGTCTGTCCCTGGAAAAATCCTGGAGAAAATTGTCAAGGGATCTATCAAGACCAGACTAATGGAAGGCAAGCATCTGAATGCCAGCCAACATGGCTTTGTGACTGGCAGGTCTTGCCTGACCAACGTCATCTCCTTCTATGACCAGGTAACACGTGCCCTGGACAAGGCAGATGACATGGATGTCAGATATCTGAATTTCAAGAAAGCCTTTGACCTAGTTCCCTATGATGTCGTCATGGTTAAGCTGGGGAACTGTGGCCTTGATCATCTTACAGTCCAATAGCTAGGTAACTGGCTATGGGGTTAGACCCAAGGAGTACTAATTGATGGGAACAAATCAACATGGCGCAGTGGAGTCCCTCAGGGCTCGGTAGTCTTTAACATCTTCATTAACGATCTAGATTCAGGAGTCAGATGCGAACTGGCAAAGTTAATGGATGACACCAAATTATGGGTGAGGGCAGTCACACCGCAGGACAGACTGAGGATACAGGCCGGCTTGGACATGCTTTCAAGGTGGGCTGACCAAAACCTGATGGGCTTAAATGTAGAGAAGTGTAAGGTGCTGCACCTTGGTAGGAAGAACCTTCAACATACTTACAGGCTCGGCAGTGCTGCGCTCACTAGCACCACGACCGAAAGAGACTTTGGGGTCTTGGTTGACCACAAGATGAATATGAGCCACCAACGCGATGCTGTGACTGGCAAAGCAAACCAAACTGGCATGCATCCATTGATGCATCTCAAGCAAAACAAGGAATGTCATCCTCCCGCTTTACTCGTCCTTGGTGAGACCGCAGCTGGAGTACTGCATCCAGTTTTGGGCCCCCCACTTCCGGAAGGATGTGGAAAAGCTTGAGAAAGTCTAGGAGAACCACTGTATGATCCAAGGCCTGGAGGGCAGGCTGCATGAGGAAAAGCTGAGGGACCTGGGACGCTTCAGTCTGGAAAAGAGAAGGCTCAGGGGGACGTGGTAGCAGCCTACAATTATATGAAGAGGGGTACATCAGGACCTGGGAGAACAGCTGTTTACCAGAGCTCCCCAAAGGATAACAAGGTCTAATGGCCATAAACTCCAGGAAGGATGATTTAGACTAGACATAAGAAAAAAGTTCTTTACGGTGCGAGTGTCCAGGGTCTGGAACAGACTCCCCCCAAAGGTGGTGCAAGCACCTACTCTTTAAAAAAAAAACGTGGATGTTTTTCTTGCTGGGGGTCACATGATCCCAGCTGACTTCCTGCATATGGCAGGGGGGCTGGACTTGATGAAGTCCCTCCCAGCCCCTAGTGTCTATGAAATAAGGAACCATTCTGCCCAGTGGAAAAGGAGGAGCTAGGGTTCAGCTGTTCAACCTCTCGCCCTCCACCGCAGCAAGGCCGAAGGTGGGCAAGAGCCAGGATAGGGTTTTGGGCTTGGCTGGACTATGGCAGGTGTGCTAAGGACATGGCAGGACCTCAGAGAAGATACCTGCCCCTTCAGTCAGGCACATGATCCCAGTCAAGTCTTCTTGACCCTGTAACGGCCCTAGAGAGTTCAAGCTGCTGTAACTCACAACCATGGAGCAGGGAAAGAGGAGCCACTGCAACGAAGGCTAAGACTGAGACGGCTTCTGTAACTCTTACCTTCTGCCTCCTCAAGCTGCCAGTCATACTTCACCCAGTACTAAGGTGTGTAGAACCCTTCCCCTCTCTTTGCCCCGGCTTACCCAAGGATTGAACCTCCTTCAGGGTTCTCAGCTTCACCTCTGCACTGAAATTTGCTATGCCACATCACCAAGGCCTTGTCTGTGCTTACCTGGTTCTGCCAGCAGAAAGTCTAGTGCCAGACAGCAATGATTGAGCCACCACAGCGTGTTTATATCTGCATTCTTCTGGCAGCCCCATGTGGCTGCACTAAGGAGTTGTGCTGCCAGAGCACAAAGGCTTCCCTGGGAAGGTCTCAGCTCCAGGGAGAGACCACAGGAGCATCTACGTACTGTTCTGCCAACTGCTTGATGGCAGCTGAAGTCCTATTCTGGTTAGCAGAGGTGGGGTAACCCTGTTGGCAGAGGAGAGGGTGCTGCCAACCACAGAGGGTTCAGAGTTCTGCTGGCAAAACTCTGTAGCATAGAGCTATCGGAAACTAGGCCCTACTCAGCCAGTACCAGGCAGTCTGAACCTGAGCCAGCACAGTGCACTGACCAGAGTCTGCATCCAGCCCAGTGAGCACCGGGCCCCCTTCCAGACAAAGCACAGGAGGCCAGGGTATAAGTAAAGGTAACATTTACTGAGAGATACAGAACTGAGTATTATGAAAGACGTACATGGATGGAGCTGGTAGCAGCACCGGTGGCGGGGGAGATCCAGACCCCTCTCCCAGCATGCCAAGAAGAAAGGAGCCAGGCGCTACCAGACAGGCAACACAATGGAGATAACTGCAGCATATGTATTTGTAACAAACAGACCATCATAACATACACTTCTATAAGATCACATCTAGTGATTATATAAATCCATATAGAGATCGCTGTATAAAACCTTTGTAAAAAATATAAAAAACGTGTAAAAATGTGCATTTAAAAGCACGGCCGACAGGGACAGCTGGGCTGTAAACATTATACTGAGAATGTGCTTGTGGGGGCGCCTGCGCCACAGTGCCACGGACTGGCCCAGCCGCGAGACGGGGCTTGCATCAAGTGTTTGCACTTCTTTGTTTCAGATTCTGCTCTGGAGTGTGCGCAAGGAGCAGTGGCAGGACCAGGGGGACGGTGACAGGACAGGCCTGGGGGATCTGGCCAGCCTGCCTCTGTCTGCTGCCTGCTCCCCACCCTGTGGTCATTTCTCCTGGGTCGAGCCCCTGCTCCCAGCTGGGTGCATACTGGTAGTTACGGGGAGAGGGGAAGTTGGAAGTCCCTGCTCCCCTCACAACTTGATCCAGACTCAGGGTAGACTGCAGAAGGCTGCTCAGTTGATCCCTGGGGCAGGCAAGTGGATGGAAGAGCCACGATGAGGTATTGCAAGGGGCTGCCCTCACCAGAACCACTAGACTTGCTCTGGGTGCAGCATCAGGGAAGGATGAATGGCAGGTGCCTGATCTTCTCCTCCCCCATATTTGGTTGGTCTGTAATCACCTCTGAATTCTGGCTGCACAAGGTCTGGGGACACAGTTCTTTGTACAGTACATAGATTAGAGACCCTTGGAGACCCCACTTCCTGTCTCCTCCTCCTCCTGGCCCAGAGATCCTGTCACTTCTTCTCTAGTTGTTCAAGCAGTGGGTTGGCTTCGCTTTCTGGCGTCTTGATGCTGTCTGTCCGCACAATGCATGTGGGACGGTGTCGGTTCAGCATCAGGATCAGCTGCTGCCTTTCTTGCTTCAGCTCCTCTATCTGGGCCTTCAGCTCAGCATTCATGAGCTCCAGCCGCTCAGACTCCTAGTGGGGCCAGAAATGCAAGCAGACGGCTTTAATCCATGAGCTAACCAATGAAGGAAAGCTCAGCCTGCTCTCACCCCACCCCAGAAAGTGACCCTGCCACTCTGGCATATACAAAGCATGAAGAGAGACTGTTCTCTGTAGCATAGAGTGGGATTGTTCCCTGCCATGTGTTTACTAATGGTCTGCCCAGTTTTCAGTGATCCAAGTGAAGTAGACCAGCCTCAGGGGTGGGATGAAAAATAAATAAATAAATAAATAAGTCAGTCTACGCTTATTGTTAATGTGTAATGTGCACACACCCTTTGCATGTGTCCACAGCCCTCTTCATAAAACAGCTAAACTCTGCCACCATCAAGGCATGCAGGTTTGTCTCCTGGTGAACAGATGGTCTGTGTGGCTCCTGCCCCCAGTAAGTCCCTCCAGAGAAGGCGCTTTGCAGTAGAAGCGTTTTCTGCATTGATGTAAAAATAAAACTGAGGCTAAAGGGAACCCCAGGTTCTCAGGGGGTTGATGAGCACCAAGAATGGCAGCTTTTACTCTGAACTTCTTCTGCTTTGTTTCATTTTTAAGAATAGTCACTTTTATGATAAACACCTTTTACAAAAGCCTGACATCTCAGGTATGGGGGACCGAGTCCAAGAGTTTGCCCCCACTGCACACAAATGCATGGGTGTGACCCCTGAGGGAGTTGAAGGGGGGCACATCTATGTTGCAGGTTGGGAGTGCAATGGCACGCTTGCTCCCTGTGAGGGTGCCACACTGTGGGAAGAAAGAGTGATTAGATAGCAAGTGCACCTGAACTGGGAATTGCCAGCCTCAAGGGCAGTGGTTCTCAACATTTTTGGACTCAAGGCACCCCTCACTGGACATGAGGTAGTCTCCACAACTGTTGTTACTTGAGTGGCACCCAATTTCAAAAACTAATTCATATATGACAATGTTTACCTCCCTGTACAGGGGCTGGGGATTGGCCAAACAAGGACAAGCCTACTCCTCACACCTCCTGGCACCCTTCAAAGGGTCCAGTGGCACCCCAGGGCCAGCATCTGATGAAGTAAATTCTAGTTAATGAAAGGTTCTGCTCTGTCTATAATCTCACATAGGTAATCTGTAAGGTGCATATCTGCCCAGCCTTCACCCTTGCTCTAAGAGCCGCCAGACTCTGTCCATTTCACTGAGGCATGTCGAGCTAGTAGGTCTCAAGAGCATGTCCTCAGGCTCACCCTGATCCCTGGAGCCCCTGGTTTTGTTGCACTCACTTGGGCATCTGGCCCATCAGCTTCTTGGATGGGGCCTGGCTATAAGAGAAGCAGGTCTCATCCAGATGGTGGGGCATGCGCTGGCAGGACACAGTCCAGCTCATGCCCCAGAGAAGAGTATGTCTGATGCCTTCCTGCCCTCACAGCCTTCTGTGCTGCAGAAGCAGGGTGAATGAACTCTTTAAAAAACACCCATGGGAGGGTTCCACTTTCATGCCTCTTGACTGGAGGGTGGGGGGACCCAGGTGTCATGCTGCACTGGAGCCTTGCTGCAGAGGCGATCGCTGGCCAGACCAATGGCCAGGGCACTCACCCGCTGCAGGAACTCCGTTCTCTCCTTCTTCTTGTTGCGACATCGGGCAGCTGCTACTTTGTTTTTCTCGCGGCGCCTTTTCCTCCTCTCCTCTTCCTCATCCAGCTGGAAGGGGACACAGAGCCCCAGGTTAAAGCAGAGGAGTGATGTGGTTCACAAATCAGTTTTATCACTCGATCTCATGGCAGGGAGCGATTGGCAACAGTATAAGAAGCAGCTGTGCATGCTGCCCACACATGGCTCTGTTCATGCTCTTCAGCCCTGGTCTGTGGCACCTTTGGCTATGCAGGTCTGGCTTTTCCTTCCCCAACACCCCTGTCAATGTGCCTCAGTTCTGCTCCCACTGCTGGGGTCAGGGACTGGTAACCAGGTAGATCTGTGACACACTAACCCAGTGGGGGTCAACCTTTGTAGCTTGCTTGCCAAAAAAATCAAGCCCCACACCTTCCCTGAATGACACTCCGATCCCCCTTCTCTATCTGCTGCTCAGATTTCTGCCTCATGCCCTATCTGCTACTGCTGCCTGAGCCCTCCATGGTCTCCTGCATACCATGCACAGAGGCTGCCTGTGCCACTTGTAATGTGTGTGCCTCAAGTTGACCACCCCTGACCTAGCCTATCTCCATAAGTGGCTCCAGGCTGAGGTAAGTTCTCTGCATTAGTAACCTGTGTCTGTATCAGAACAGCACCAAATTTCACCCTACCCCAGCACAGAGATGTGCAAGCACAGGCAGAGAGGCTGGAGAGGTGCTGTGGTAACTGCAAGCGTCAGGAACAAGAGACCTTGCCAAGCATGCAGGGGCTAGAACAACCAAAAGGAAGAGCCCCTCAGCATATTCCCCAGCCCTGCAGAACAGTGCTTTTGTGTCTTCCCCATATTAACTCAGAGCTGATCCTGTAGCAGAGGAGTTCTCAGCTGTGGGACACCGATGTGCAGTGGGTGGGTGTCAAGGGCAGGCACAGGAAGAGAACCAATTGACACCCTCCCCCCAAAACAGACCTGGTGCTAAGTTGTTCCACGTGCACTAACTCTGGCACAGGTTGCAACAGAGACACTCAAGTAGGGTGCCGTTAGCCCTGCTGAGATGTGCAGCTTGTTAGCCCAGGTACAGCACCTGTATCACAACCATGCTGCTTCCTACAGAATCAGGATGTACAGTGAGCTTGGGTATCTGCAGCCTGCCCAGCACAAAGGAGGCAAGCCAAAGGGCTGCACATGGCATTAGTAGAGAGTTGGACCATGCAGCATCAAGATGTCAAGGACCATTACTGGTGAATCAGCATGGGAATGGACATGTTTTCTCTGGGGACTATCCAAACTGTGCTGCAACTCAGGGGAAGAGACAAAGGAACTGTGTATTCCACAACTGCAGAGAAGCAAAGCACACAATGAGCAGGCAGGGCAGTGAGTGGTCTCAGGCCAGGAGCTGGTCAGAGTCAATAGCCACAAAAGCCTGAACAAGCTGTTTCTGACTGGCTCCAGTCACCCCCTGTGCAACGCGATGGATCAGTGTCCTTGGCTGGGTGCACCTCTCTGGCCTGTTTATTTGTCACTGGCTGAGCAGTAGAAGGCACGAGGCCAGTGCGTACAGAGGGCAGCAAAGTGGACGGTGGAGCCTGGCACCCGGATTCCATGACAGCAGGGGTTGGTGAGTTTCTCTGTGCTACTGACCCAAGTCACACAGACAGGCCAATAACCCTGTGGTCTGGAAACCTAATCAAAGGAATAGGGGCACTGCTGCAACTCTGTTCACAAACCTAGGGCTGTCAAAAGACCCCCAAAAACCACTTGTCTAGGCACAGTGAAGCTCATTAACACTCATTCACCCCCAAAGACAATATTATGGGTGGATGGGTCATTTTCGACCTGGAGGGAAGTGGGCAGTGGGGTCCCCCAGGGCTCAGTCCTTGGGCCTGCACTGTTCAATTTCTTTATTGGCAACTTGGATGATGGGGTGAAGAGCAGCCTGTTTAAACTCGTAGATGACACCAAGATTTGGGGTGAGGTGGGCACGCTAGAAGGGAAGGACAGATTACAGCAGGACCTGGACAGGTTACAGGGGTGGGCAAATGGAAATAGGATGGGATTCATTACTGACAAGTGCAGGGTGCTGCACTTAGGCAGTAGGAACCAGCAGCATACTTATAGGCTGGGGAACTCCCTTCTCGAAAGCACAGTGGCAGAAAGAGATCTTGGAGTCATTACTGACTCCAAGATTAACATGGGCCGACAATACGAGAACACGGTCAGTAAGGCTAACCGTACCTTGTCCTGAATCCACAGATGCATCAGAAGCAGGGCCAAGGAGGTGATCCTCCCCCTCTATACGACACTGGTCAGGCCGCCGTTGGAGTACTGCATCCAGTTCTGGGCGCCGCACTTCAGGAGGGATGTGGACAGCATTGAGAGGGTCCAAAGGAGGGCCACTCACATGACTGGGGGAACAGCAGCGCAGGCCCTACGAGGACAGGCTACAGGACGTGAACTTGTTCAGCTTTCACAAGAGAAGGCTGAGAGGGGATCTGGTGGCCATCTATAAAAACTTACTAGGGGGGACCAGCGGGATTTGGGAGAGACCTTGTTCCCCCAAGCGCCTCCCAGAGTAACAAGAAATAACGGCCATAAATTGCTAGAGAGTGGATTCAGGCTAGATATCAGGAGGTGTTATTTCAGTCAGGGCGGCTAGGATCTGGAACCAACTTCCAAGGGAAGTGGTAATGGCTCCTACCCTGGGGGTCTTCAAAAGGAGGCTAGATGTTTACCTGGCTGAGGTCATTTGAGCCCAGTTTTCTCTTCTGCCCATGGCAGGGGGTCAGACTAGATCTACAAGGTCCCTTCCGACCCTACATCTATGAATCTATTATCATTACCCAGAAAATTACTCAGGTTGCACTGTCAGTAGTTGGGAGCCTGGAAAGTCACCAAAAAATCTTAAAACTGCCACTGAATCAGCCTCCAGGAGACAGCCTTAGCCATGAACAGTGCAGCTCTCCATCTCTCTATTGTTCCGGGGACTTCCAAATCCAGGAAGCTATCAAGCTAACCCACCTACCTAGATCTTAGCCATCAACTTGAGTGTGCTTCTTTGAAACGCTTAAGCAGCAGCATATTTTGTCATCACTTCAGCAAACTATCCTTGCCATCTCTAAAGCCAGCTGCAGTCACTGACAGGGCAACTTTGTAGCAATTAGGACCAAAATGGACCATAGTCAATAGAATTCCCTCAAAGTTGACAGGATTTTAAATGTTGTCACATAACTAGAATGGAAAGCTAGGAAGTTTTACACATGTCTGTCTGTATGAGCTGAAAACCATGTTCTCCAGACCTCCTACCCTCCACAGGCAAAATACTACATGCATGTTTGTAAAGCACATGGAAACACAAAAGGTGGGGGAGGAGGGAGAGAGAGGCAGAGCTGGCTGCCCAGATTTAATTACATACTTGAATTTATCCCACTCCCTTCAGTTCAGGGAGAGGCTGGCACTGCCTTGCTCAGCCGCAGGGACTGGGAGCACAATGAATCTGACTGGGGATGGCACCTTCAAGAGAAGGACTTAGTCTTTCTTCCTGGGGGAGTGCTCTGCTGTGGTCTGGAGGGATTTCCAGCAAGCACAGCAGCCACCCTTGGGGCAGTGGTTACATATTCAGGTGGCAGCTTCAGTAGAGTGTCAGCCTTACCCCAGACTCATGAAAGTTGCTACCAGCTGTGTTAGGCACCTGGCCATTCAGGCCAAGGAGTGGTGTGCTGTTTGCCACAGGAAACTGGGTGCCTTAGCCATACTAGCAGAACAAGATGCCAGGCTCAGGCAGATGCCTGACCTGTCCTGAGAGCAGTGGCTGTTTCTAATTCCCCCAGAGATGGGCAGACAATCTATTCAGCAGTGTATGCTGCTCCCACCTGCAGAGAAGGTTCAGCACAGCGAAGTGCCCAGCATTCACATGCTCCGGTCTCCACCCTTGCCCATATATGAGCATCCACACTCAGGGATACTCCTTCCAGGATGGGTTGGGAGGCAGCTTCTCCTTCCCAGTGCCAAGAGGGTCCCTTTCCTCCCGGACAGGAGTACAGCCATAGGTACTGACTCCATGGGCACTCCATGGCTAGCGGGTGCTCAGCACCCATGGAACCATGCTTGCAGACATTAAACACCACCCCTCCTCAAAAAAAACCAAACCTGTGCTTTACTGGAAGCAGCAGCATGTTACTTCAACATAGCTCTGCAGCATCTGTAAAGATTGGGTGCTTCAGCAGGGCTTTCTGGTGCTTTTAGCTGATTGATTCAGCTTTAGCTATTAGATTAAAGCTCCAAAAAAGCCCCACTAAAGTGCCCCATCTCTACAGACACTGCAGAGCCGGGGTGAAGTAACGTGCTGCCTCTTCTGGGCATGTGTGGGGCTCAGCACAGGAATGCACCAAGTTAAAAGTAAAGCATTGATTTTTGGGGGCTTTTTTGCAGGGGGAAGAGGTTATCTCAGTAAGCACCCACCAGCAAAAGACAAAGTTGCTGCCTCTGAGTCTGGCAGGCAGGTGTCTCTAGTACAGGGGTGGGCAAAATGCAGCCCGCCAGGCCATTCTATCCAGCCTGCGGGGCCCCTAAAAAATTTAGAAAGTTAATATTTGTCTGCTCCTAGCTGCCTGTCATGCAACCCTAGGTGTCTTGCCAAAACTCAGTAAGCGGCCCTCTCCGCCTGAAATAATTGCCCACCTCTGCTCTAGTGCCTCCACTCAGAAAGGAATGAGGCCAAAACAACTGTGTCCACTGCTTTTAGCCACTCCTGAGTGCAGCAGTTCTGGCTTTAGGTCACCCAAGTTTTGGTTTCCAAGCTTTTGCCTTGGGCACTGCCATGAGGTGTTTTGAGCCTGAGATCATCATGAGTGTTGCAGAGGAGGAACATGCTGCAGCGCAGCAGCTTGGTTCCACTGCCTGGCACTCTATGCCCTGGGATTTCCCCTTTTTCCCTGCATGGTATTTGCAGACTAACAGTCAGAGAAAACTCAGCACTTTCAGTACCTGCTCTAGACTAGCACAGAGCAGGGCAGAGTGCAGCCTGCTCCCAGACACAAGCAGATGATCGGGCCTATGCTAAAAGGCTCCATGAGCTCTCTGCTGTGGCGTCAATCCTGGATATAGCTGGAGTTTCATGGGGCCCCTGTGGCATAGTGAGAGGAGGAAGGCAGGATTCCCGTTGTACAGATGGGAAGAGAGAGGCACAATGGCCGTGGCCCTACCTACCTGCTCCTGTTCCACATGTACCAAACCAGGAAATGAGGCAGTGAAGCCACTGAGGGCAAACCCCCTCTCTCGCACACACGTGGTTGTGCGCACATACACGTACACACATGCTGCTCTCAAGCTACCCGTCTGTAAGGCACCTGAGGCAGGGAAGACACTGTCCTCCTCCACAGCTGCTCTTATCTCTGGGTTTGGTGCATGTGGAATGGGTGCTGGATGACAAGATATGTTCTTTAGTGAGGCACACTACAAAAACAACATAGATAGGCCCAAAGAGGAATGCAGCTAACGCCATGGAAGGAGTCACTGGCAGCAGGAGGCACCAGAAAAAGGGGAAGCTTTGCCTTCAACAGGCTGGTATGGCATAGGAAGTAGCTGGAGAAAGGGGCTGTGAGGGTACAGTAGAGGGTGGTTTCCCAGAGCAGGGCTGCCAGAAGAGGGTCCTGGCTAGGATACACTCAGAGCTCCCACAGGAGCAGAGTCCAAGGCTGGGGCCCTTTATAGATTCATAGATTCATAGATTAAGGGTCGGAAGGGACCTAGTAGATCTTCTAGCCCGACCCCCTGCCAGGGCGGGAGAACAACAAAAAAACCCCCAAAAGAGAAACGGGACTCAAATGAGTCCAGCCAGGTAGGCATCCAGCCTCTTCTTAAAGACCCCCAGGGTAGGGGCCAGCACCACT